TTTATTGTGTCTCCATGAACACAACAGGGAGCAGAGTGATTTAGCCACCAGCGCTTCTAGGACCCCCGCATGGCGAGCGTTCGGGGGGAGCCAGATGGGGGGAGCTGGGAGTTTGGGGGAAGTAGGTTGGGGATGTTGGGAGGGGGGTTGAGGGGAGAGGGGTCAGGATGGGGGGCAGGAGTTTGAGGGCAGACAGGCTCCCCCCAAAGGTCAGAGCCAGGGGGCAGGATTGTTTGGGGAGGGGAGGGGCTGATGGTGCCCTGCAGAAATCTGTGACCCAAAATTGGGGTGTCGGAAACAAGGCCTCATTGGTGGACAAAATATTGCGGGGACGGGCTGTGCCGCCCGCCTGCTTTGGGGCCTTAAAGAAAGAGACTCGCTTCACTGTCATGGCTGCCACCCCCCGTCTCCTGGGCCCCCCGGGCCATCCAGGCCCTGCTCCGTGGAGATGTCGTGAGCAGAGCGGCCGGAGAGAGGGACCCCGACACCATCACCTATCCCCCGGCAGAACCCCCAACCCGGGAGGAAATGGGGACGGACTTTAACAGCAGCAGCTCCAGTGAATGGGGCCGGGGCTGGAAGAAACCCCTCATTTGACACAGCGCCTGCCACAGCTCCCCTGGTTCCTGCTCTGCTGTGTCTGTAACAGCCGGTCCCAGGGGTCAATGGGGGGTTTGCCGTGGGGCTGAGCAGGCTGCGGGCTCTGGACCCCGCCCCCGGCCTGTGTTTAACCCTGTTCAGTGTGGGGCAAGGGCTGGGGCCCTTTATTGCGTTTCCAGGACCCAGAGTGATTTAGCCACCAGCGCTTCTGGGTCTCCTCATGGCAGGTGATTCGGCAGGGCCAGTTGGGGGGAGCTGGGAGTTTGGGGAAAGTAGGTTGGGGGTGTGAGGAGGGGGGTTGAGGGTAGAGGGGTTGGGATGGGGGACAGGAGTTTGAGGGCAGACAGGCTCCCCCCAAATGTCAGAACCAGGGGATAGGATTTTTTGGCAGTGTGATGGGGGAGGGGGCAGATGGTGCCCCCCAGGGGGGAGCTGCCATTTCCACCCCTCGGCAGGTTCCCTTTTCAGTACCCCCTCCTTCTCCTGACCCCTCAGATCTGGGTCCCCCACTTTCTTTCCCCTCTGTCACGGACTCACAGATCGTGCCCACTCTTGGCCCCTTGAGGTCCGTGGGGGGGGGGTGCCCCTTTCAGTGAGACAGCCCTTCTCAGGGGTCCACTCTCTCTTGGGGTCAGGCCCCTCCACCACTCTGAGCCTTAGCACCTCTGTCTCTCTCCATGGGCCCCCTCAGGGAGTCCACTCGCTCTGGACCCCCTGGGCCTCCACCCCCCGAAGGGGTTGACGCAACCCTGTTCTCTAGACCGGAGTGACTCTCAGCCAGCATAAAGCAGGAGGGTTTATTGAGAGTTGAACACAGCACAGGAAACTCTCAGGGCCTCAGGCCTGGCCTCCCTCAGCACAGCACATCCCAGTCTCTCTGCATCCAGGTGGGCTCTGCCTGCTCCCCCTCTCCAGCCCCGAGCCCCCCTGCTCCCAGCTGGGCATCTGAGATCACCTCCCCCAAGCCCCACCTCTGTCCATTGTCTTCTCTCCAGGTAAACAGGGTTGTAAACTGGGCCCTCCTCTCCTCGCTTCTGTCCTCTGGCTGGAACCGGCTGGTTCGGTCACTGGGTCCTCACTCTGCAGCCCATTGTCCGCCCACTGGCCAGAACCGGCTGCAACTCCTGAGCTGGGTCTCT